AATTAAATAATTAAAAAAACCAAAATTGTTTTAAATATATGTGAAATATACAAAAAAATATATAGAAATGTGTACTAATATCTTAACGTAAATAAAATAAATAGTGCAACAGCTTCTTATATAAAGATCTTTCCTAACATATTCTGACTTGCCAAGTCAGCAAGCGTCATTATTTTGGAGGAATAGACATTTCAAACCATAAAAACGCAAAAATCTCGTTACATTTGGTTCCACCGGGTGATTGCCTGTGCAAGTTACTGAGTACCGTGCAAGAACTGACGAAAGGAGGTATCTCACCATCGTTACAAATCGGTCGAAAGTGGTCTCGCCATCAACCCGAGTAAAACCGAGATGGTTTTATTTGCTAGAAAATATAAGATCCCGCTGCCAAAAATAGGAGATAGCAATCTGGAATCGGTAGATACTGGATAGGAAGCTTCATGGAAGCGGAATATCTAAGAAAAGCAAAAAAGACATCGATTGCCTTATAGTACTGTAGAGGAGCCATTGCCAAAAGGTGGGGTCTCTCACCGAAAGTGGTTCTCCGGCTCTACGTCACCATAGTCAAGCCCATTATGTTCTATAGAGTCTTAATTTAGTAGAGGGTTCTAGAAAAGAAGCAAAACAAACTCGAGACCGTTCAACAGCATGTGTGGTGCACTGAGGTCCACTCCAACCACGGTACTTAACGCCATCTTGGACATAGTGTTCATAGACGTCACCATAGTTAAGCCCATTATGTTCTATGGAGTCTTAATGTGGTGGAGGGCTCAAGAAAATATCACACTCGCAAACAAACTCGAGACCGTTCAACAGCATGTGTGCTGCAATGAGGTCCACTCCAACCACGGTACTTAACGCCATCTTGGACATAGTGTTCATAAACATCGTCGCAAAGTGTTTGACTGCGAAAGTTTGCTCACACGTTGACTTCAAACTGGCTTATTTGTATCATGGAGTCGCAAACCGAACTCTGACGGCTCCTTTTCTGTCCACATACCGGCGAGGGCGTTGTTGTGATAAGACTGGTATGGGTCCTAGCGAAATCGCAGGAAATTGCAAAGTTGATGAACTAGCAACTAAAGACAACCTAGATCTGTTATATCGTTAGCGGGTTGGTGCTTTCGTATCTTCTTGTGTTTTACTACTAGACAGCTGGGCCTCGCGGAAGCTTGGCTAGCGTTGCGCCACCATCAGGACGGAAACAACTTAACACTTCCTTTCTGATTGTCACATGTTTGGGAGGTTAAGACTTAAACACTTGGGAGCGTCTACCTTCAGACATTCCACCGAACCTGCGAACGAAATCACACTCAGAATCGAAGTTTTGTAAAAGAAAGTGATTTATCATCGACAAAAGTGGTTGTGTCTAAACTCAGTAATACATACCTGAAACAGTTTGTTAAGTCTCAGAATCACTTTTGATATGCCTTTTAAAGAACATATGCCTATTCGTTTTGTCACTCTAATTATTATCTAACTTTTTTTGAGCGTGAAAACGATTTCAAGTTTCATTAAGGTACTGAGACAGGGAAGACAGACGCACCACGGTTGAGTGGAAAGACATCCTGAAATTAATTTGATACAAAATCTTCATAATTTTGTTTATATCTATCTCGATTGCATGAATAACAAATATTATTAAGGAAAAAAGAAAACATTTAAACACATAATATGGTAGAACGCAGATTAAAAAATAAAAAAATAATATCAATGTATCAATGTATACAGTCCTAATGTACATAAATTATAAAACAATATTTTTGACTATTACCACACAGAAATTGCCAATGTGGAACTTTTTATAGTACAATTTCTAGATAATAATAAAAATATTATTTTATAAATTGTATGAACTTTTAAATAACCAAAACAAATTATTAACTTTAAAAGCGTCAAATAGGACTTTAAATGTTACAATTATATTAATGCCGTGCAGTCTCAGTCAATTTTTTCACAAACATTTTTAAATGTATTTATATTTTATTTTATTAATTTAATCATTTAAATAGAAATAAAAATAAAATTAATGGCTTTAAAAAAAATATTCATGAAAACGCCTGTGTAGGAAAAAAATTATATAAAGTAATATTAAAGAATTATTAATACGTTATACACAAATTAATTTCAAAAATTTACAAAAATCGAAAAAAATTATTCGCCCTATAGCACAATTCCAAAACAATTCAAATTAATATCGTAAAAAGTGTCGCCCATTGTAAGAAACGAAAAACAAAAGCAAATACGCACAGTGCTACCCACAACTTTTATTTTTACAAGGCACAAACAATTCACAGCGCAACAGAAGCAACAACAACGTGTATGCAAAAGCAAACAAGTGAAATATAGCGAAACCTGTTCTCATTGCAACTACTGCGCATGCGCAACGCTTCTGTAATTGACGGCAACAACTACAACAATTGCGTCGACGCCAGCAACAACCTCAACCAACATTCGCGTCACCTCGCATATCGCGGCCCGTCATCGCGTTTATTTTTGTGTATGTACGTATGTGTGTGTGTGCGGGCGCCCATGTGAATTTGTGGAATTGTCCTACCGCAACAACACAAGTCGCCAACACTCACTGCATGTGATTGCTTGTGACAACAGCAAATAGCAACAACAATAATTGCAGTGCAATAACAACAGCAACGAGATATCACGACGTCTGGCCACAACAACCACACGACGCGACCACAGCCCGAACATTACATAACTTTCAAGTTGTTCACTTATTGTTGTTATTGCTTGCTGTTTTTTTTTTTTCAATTTTATCTCTCATTGTGTTCACTCTAGTGTCTACTTGAATTTGTCACTCCTTCGATAATTGTGTCACATTAACCCAATTCTCGGGCTTTCTTCACACACATACAGAGAGACTACGTCGTTTAACTGACGTTTGTTTTATTGCATTGGATTGAATTGAGCGTTGTGCTCCATTTGCGGTCGATTAATTTGTTAAATTGTTTACATTTATTTACACCGTTATTTATCGTTGGCGTTTCTGTGGCGTTCGGCTTTATTTGTTTTGAGGAGGCGTTTTGAAAACTAGTTGCAGTGACAATGTTGAAAATGTACAGAGCAACGGCGATACTATTGATCCTCTTCGGATATCTGCTCATCACAGGTGAGTTAAGAATATATAGAAATATTAGTAAATACACATATACGTATATATTGCAGTCGGGCTTTAATTTAAACAAAAAATTTTAAATTAATAAAAAAAAATTAAATTAAAAAAATTAAATAAAAAAAAATTGTTGAAAAAATATTTAATTAAAAAAAATTTATTGAAAAAGAAAACTGAATAAAAAAATTAAGTAAAAAAGTTCTAATTAAAAAAATTATATTATTTTTATAAATTTAATTTTTAAAACTAAATTTTTTTAAATTTAAATTACTTTGAAAATTACATACGGGCATAGTTCGGTGAATAATGGCGCTGGGCAAACACCGCCTGTATGATCCCACATTTCATCTGAGAAAGTAGGCATTGAGAAACCCATGCATTGTCTATACGACGATCTTGTCAGAAGCATGCTGAGGAAAATGAAAACCTGATGGAACGAGCTAACTGAACCAGGGAGTACTCAAAATTCCCATTGGCAGTCGATAGAGCAGACTGTACACGTACAGGAATATGATGACGGTTAGGAGCAGCTAAAAATCTAATGGATTTAATTGATAATAGCGCTATCTATGTGGCCGGGGGTTTTTTCAATAAACCTATTACCTCTTCTCGCGCTACAAAATTCATTCGTTAATACATTTTACAATGCGCTCTGGGGAAGCATACCCAAGCGTATCATTTATAAAGTAGAAGACTGAGATTTTAATTAATTGTAAAACTACAATTGCAACAACTCAACTATACACATACTCGAAAATAAAAGACACGAGTAGGGGTAGGGCTAAGTCCGGGCATAACCAAACATTTCATGCTCATACAAGGATTAAATCCTTTATGTTAGCTGAAGTTGTGTGCTACAAGTTGTGTGTCGGAATCGGTATCGGAAATGCGTTATAAAAATAGATAAAGAAAACAAACCATTAAAATTGAAAGAACCCCTGAATCTCCCAATAAATTTTGAGGTTATGTGAAAACCGTGTTGATACAAAAGTTATGGGTCTTTTTATTACCTACAACTTTGTCATATACTTTTTTCTATAGTATTCTTTTTGCCGCACCGTTTTAATTTTTAAAACGCCCATTTATTTCATCTTTCGTTTCCAATGGGTTTTCAGCTACTATGAATTTCTTTTTAAACGATATTCAATAAAATTCCTTAGTCCTATTGTTTATTGATATAATTATGTAACAATTCGATAAAATCTTACTCCTCTTAATTGGCGTAGAGACCGTTTCCGTCGTTATAGCCGATAATCCGACAAAATATTGAACATTAGAACGAAATTTAATATAAATAAATGTACCAAGTATAAGTAGTGTATAAGTAGTACGTGGCGTATGAGTAATATGAAAGAATAATGCTCTAAACAAGGTATAGAATAAAAATAACAAATCACTATTATAATTTTTTTTGCTTCTCGTCATTTTAGCGAAAACAACGAAATGAGAAAATTTAAACTGAAACCTTTCAAGTGCCGCCTTTTAAATTCAGCATTTATTAGACACTGAACAGGGCACATAAGTTTGCCACGAAGTTTGTAAATATACATAAATATGTATACAAACTATCACCATGATGATGAGTCTTTTTAGCAATGTTCGTCTATTTGCTCGTCTCTATATACTCGAACTAATTAATAAGTTTTTGAGATATCGGTCTTGCATACTTCCTTTTCTCCCTAACAAATTCTTCATTTGTCGGGCTACTGTAAGATATACCCACATAGCTGCCATACAAACTGATTGATCAAACTGTCTATTTGGTAAAGAACCTTTGCGTAATTTTGTATAGGTTACTGTCCAAGGCAAGCTGCAATCTCCCAAAAAATTCTTCCAATCGGGCCACTATAGTTACCATTCAAACTCATCGATCAAAATCAAGATAACTATCTTTTATGCTGTAAGAAAATACACCTGGGAAGGGTATAATATCTGTCTTTTTTTTGATTTAAAATTTTTTAAATATGTAGTTATTATCCTTAATAGACCAGGTTATATAATTTTTGAAAGCAAAAAAATAAGAGTGGGATTAAACCCATTGTAAACGAAAGCTAAAATAGCAAAATGAAAGGAAAAATAATTGAAGTGCGGTCTGAGGTCGGTAAGAGAGAGTTGGTAAGAGAGATTTGAAAACAGTTAACTAAGGATAAACGATCTTATTTTTTAAGACGTTAGTAAGTTTTATGTTTGTTGAAATCTCTTCTTTCTTGGAGTATAAAAAATATATACAACACTAAGATAAATTTTCTGACAAAATGAACCCCTTAAACGATTCAAAGCTGCTCTTTTCTTTCTTCTAGCTATGATTTCCTAGTAGCAGCTGTTTAGTGAGCTTTTTTTGAATCTTCCGAGAAAATGAAATAAAGAAAATATAGCAGCCGTAGCTAAAAGTGTACAAGAAGTCGGTGTAGAGTCGTTTTGGCTACGTGTGCAGCAACACGGATTGACAGATGGAACGACTTGGCGCATTTAAGATATTAAATTGCACACATACAACTGAAGCCGATCGACCTTCCCAAGAGAAATCCCTTCGCTTTGAGCTTTTGAAAAGTTCCAAGCAGATTCCACCTTTTCGAGACAAGTTTGTTTCAGTTATGGGCCCCAGTTTTGGCTCGATGGGTAGATAAACAAACACAATTGCCGCATTTGGGGCGAAGAGCAACCAGAAGAGCTGCCATTTCATCCAGAAAAAACAACAACAACTGTGGTTTGTGGGCCGGTGGGATCATCGGCGCATATTTCTTCAAAAAAGATGATGAGAACGTAACCGTCAATGTCGGCCGTTATCGCCCTGACTAACCGACTATTTGATGTCTGATATAGAAGCTATTGAACTCGGCGAAATTTTTGTCAACAAGACGGCGCCACTTCCGATATATGGAGTAATGGATTTATTGAGAGAACACTTCGGTGAGCAGATTTCATATTTTGGGCCGGTTGAGTGGCCACCAATATCGTGTGATATCAACCCGTTGGACTTTTTCCTGTGGGGATATGTATGGTCTAAAGTCTATGCGGACAATCCCGCTACGGTTTAGGGATTGGAGCTAAACACCACGGGTGTGATTCGCCAGTTACCAGTCGAAATGCTCGAACGAGTCATTGAAAAATGGACTTAGCGGATGAACCATTTGAGACGTAGCCGCGGCCGACATTTGAAAGAGCTAATCTTCAAAAAAATAAATGACAAAAAATAATGACAAGAAACATTACTCATTAAGTTGAAGTGTCTGTGTTTTTTCTTTAAAGAAGTAGGACACATCGAAATGGATCACCCTTTATAATTAAGCTGATATGTCATAAAGTGAACAGAAGCGGTTGAAAATGTAAAGAAATGTACATATGTACATACGTAGATAATTCTACCGAAATAATGACAGATATATGAGACAACATAGAAATTTATTAAATTACCTACTTTTATAAAATGTAATGTGGCGAAACAAATCAAAAAAACATTTAAATTGTATAGAAATTGTCAGACATGCTAATGTGTTGTATTGCAAGAATGAAAGCACCTAAGAGTTGTCAGAAAAAATATAGAAATTATTGGCAGAAAAATATTAATAAGGTTCTTCGCAATATTCCAATATCAAAGTGCTAATAATGGAGATCAAATTTATCACACCTAGGGCCGCTTGATGTGGTTGACGAATTATCACTTATGGGAAACAAAATAGTTGATAATTATATGCAAAGAGCCAATTGAGAAACAAAACGAACAGCCACACCTGCACAAAGCAGTTGAATTATTGGCCATTTTCCCATATCTAATGCAACTCGCAAGCCATTCGTCTTCTCGCCTTTGTTTCCCTGGATTTTTTTGTTTTTTTTTCTGCTAAGACATAGAAAATTGTGCAGAAATAAAAAACAAATGCCACACATAGCAGGCATCATGCACTCACCCGTCATTCGTCAGTTGTAATGGATCATTAAATCACCGTGAGTGCTGCAATTTAAACCATCAGACAAATGCTACAACAACAAACACTTGTTTCTGTCCATGCATTCGCACACACATTATTAGCCAAAGTTGTATGTTGCAGAAATAACAGTGAAAATAACAGCAAAAAAAAAACAAGCGCCAACAAGCAAATGAGGAATCTCTTAAGCAGCTACCAGGCACTTCATTTAACTTTGTTAGACACAGTTGGATAAACACGCGATCATTTGCATAAACGGGCGACTCACCCATGTACAGTGGGCGGGAGGGGGGTCAGCAAAACATTGGTTCGCGCTGCAACGACAGCGAGTGCAATAGATACGCGTGCGTATGTTGGCTGCCTATTACTGGCCCATTCGCCTATTGACCCATTCAGCCGCTCATTCATTTATTCGTTCAGACAGATCGCTTAACTTGTTCATTTTTTACTGCGCGACCTGTTGTTTCTCAGTTGATTTAACGTTTGTTATACCCAAAGTACAGTGTTATACGCAAGGTATTATAGTTTTGTGAATCAAATTGTTTCGTATCTAATTAGATTAATATGGATAGAACAAGGAGAGGAAAATGTAGCTTTAATAAAAGGTACTTTTCACCGCTTAGTTATTTCCCCAACCACTCGAATCCGATTCGATTGGTTTAGTCATTTCTATTTACTATGGTTGATAGTAATAGATAGTATAACACACACAATATGTCGACGACTGACTAAATTGCCGAAAAAGATAGCCGGTATCCGCTCAATTGGATCTGTGCCCATCCACTTTATGAAAAATATAGATCCAAGGGCCGGTATTCTGCGTCCGCAGACTTCTATGCAGTCTATTAGCAGGTGTTCTAGAGTTTCAGGCTCCCTGTTGCAGAACTGGCAATTTGCACACTAAGCCAATGGTATTGCACCACTTGATTCCTAATTTCAACAGTGTGTGTCTGGCTATCTGACAGATAATTACGAGAAATGGTGTGAGCTCTAGCATGACTTCAAGTGCTGCCGTGGGGCTTGTGCACTCAAAAAGAAGAGTGAAGAAGAATGTAACAATATTTTATTGAGTCA